GGTCCGGTCCGGCCCGGTCCCCAGCGCTGGATGCGCAGCTGGAGACGCGGGGGCTGCGGCTGCAGTCAGCCAAGTGCCGCTCTCGTTTCAAAGAGGCAGCCCCATAGCGCCAAATACAAACACTTATTTTTTTTTTTCTTTATAAGTACTGCATATTTATGCATTTGAATTTTGGTGCCTCAGAATTTCCTGCTCATCTCCCTTGATTAGCTAATAAACAGTTTGCAGCTAAAGTCTGTGTAAGGACCCGCTCTGCTGGGCACGTGCCCACGGGAGCTGCTGCAGTGCCACGCGTGGGGCTGCTCGCACGGGCTCACGGTGCCGACTGCTTTACTGCCAATTTGAGGTGAAATGGGTCTGCGTCTTGGCCATAAACGCATCTGCCAAAGCAATCCCTAACAATTTGCTATTCCTTTGTATCATTTCTTTTGTTATATAGAAATAAAAACCTGTACAGAAATACCTGTTGCACTTCATTAGTGGCATATCCAAAAGGAAGTATTATCTGGAGCGTTACCATGAAAGACGTTAGCCTGGCAGTCACCACAAGGTGCAGGCGCTGCTATTACAGTGTCACTGTTATAACTGAAAGTTATCTTGCAGCAATACCAATGGTTTCCAGCTCTATCTTCTGCTGTTGAAAGCAGCTCAGTGGATCAGCACGGCTCCTCTTGTGTCTTACCTCGTGCCGAGGTGAATTGGTTTTAATTTGTGCTCTGTATTTTCACATGTGCCACCGCACGAGGCCGTCCGGACACGCGGCCGCGTGGCCCCGGTGGACACATCCCTGCCCGGTGCGGGAAGGGCCGCGGGAGCGCAGGGCGGCGGGGCCGGCCCCAAGGCACCGTGTGGACCGCGAGCAAAACCGCGAGCGACCGTGGAGCCCGCGCCGGGCCCGGCCTGCGGGCCACAGTTCGCTTTGCATGAACTAAAGTTGTTATTTATGCCTAGAACTGAGTAGGAATCTCCAGCCCTTTTTATTCTTAATGAAATCTTGCAGTTTCCAAGAAATTGATGTTTTTCTTGGAAAAACGTTGCTTTTTGCCAAGTGTCTCGGATTTCTGTCAGGAAAGCCAAATCATCTGAAGTCAGCTTAAATTGACTCACACCCTTCAGGGCACCATGGTGCCAAACATAAGATGTAGTTCGTGCACCTCAATGCTTATCTTCTCTGGTCTGCTTTTGGGACAACATATTATGTGTTTTGGAAACCATTATTGCTTACAATAGCAATTATGTGTTTAGAGTGTTTTGGTTTAAGAAAAAAAGCAAAAAGATCTCTGTTCTTGCAGAATCAAAGTAACTAATTAAGTGCTTCAGACATTGCCACACACACAGCAACAATAGTTTTCAGAGTATGATAACTGAAAATGCTATTTTCAGTTATATGTTCATGTGGCTTCTCTCTCATTTCCAGGACAGGAGTGCGCTGTGCTATTTTGATGATACTGCCACATTTTGGTAGGTAAGTCTGGCTAATCGTGATGGCAATAAGGAGCAACTGAAGTTACAGGTGGTCACATACTGTGGAAAATAAAACCCATCACAGTCTGAACCTCAGACAAAGCTGAATTTAGATTTATTTGTGAGTTTAGGTCAGTGCATATGCCTGACCTGGATTAAGTGTCTCACCATTGCCTATTTGCCACAGCAAGGTTTTCTACCTTGCAGGTGGTTTTGACATGATGCTTTCTCAAGTATCTCCCAGAAAGCAGGAATTATTTGCTAAATTACAGTGTTCTTCCAGGGGCAATACATAATGAGAGTCTTCTGGAGCACCTGTGAGAGTCCCTTCTTGGCAGGGAGAGTTTATCTGAACTCAGAAAGAGGGACGACTCGTGCAGCATCCATGGCAGCATCCATGGTCTTCCCAGCTCTCTGCCAGCTGCTGCTATCGGAGGAAATGGGGTTGTCTGCATCCTCATTACAGGCTGATGGAAGGAGGTGCTCAGTGATATCGGAGGTGAGATTGTTTCCCAGCAAGTTTAACGTAGCTCTGGATTTAGATCCAAGCAGTTGATCTAACAGCATAAATCCAAACATGTCCCTGCTGTAGTCAAGTCTGCGTCTGCTTTCAGCAATATCGTGTTTCCAGCTAGCACTCTGGTGCTAAAAATGCACTTTTAGTGCCATGGCTGCTTGCAAAGGAAAGTGCAATACGCAGCACGTTGGTGTCTGAATCGCAGCCGCCCCGCGGCCAGGGATGTCTGACTACATCTGTAGCAGGTTAATTGGCTGGAATTTCAAATCACCATGTTAAGACTGCATGGAAAATTGGAAACAATCTACAGCACAGTATTATTCAATATGGATACACCTCAAAGTACCTGGGAAAAGGTAATTTTAAGAGCCAGGTATTATTTTTTGTCCAAATGTTAGTGGACACAGGTGTGTATTTAAATCTGCTTAGGGTTAATATCATTTT